AATCGGACGTTGCCGGGATGGCATCCTGCCTGTTCAATTTGCCAGAGCTCATACCAACAGTTTCGGCCTCCGGACAACACTCCAAGAGCAGGCAACCGGATGAAGAACCTTGCCGGCAGGGGGCCAGGACATCGTGGCCCAGACCCGGCTGCGAGAGCAAAAATAAAACAGAGTATGGGGTGTAGGGTTTGACAGACCGCAGGAGATGCAGGGAAGGGAGGGGAAAATCCCTGGCGGGGGAGTCGATGGCTTTTTGGCAATGGGGTGCAGGTAGCGGATCGGAGGGGCAAACCTTGAAGGAGGTCGCAGCTCGGGTGCAGCCAGGAACGTTTAGAGCTCTTCTAAGGAGGGGCCGTGACGTCGGATAAAGACGCAAACAACGCACCCTCAAGGTCAAGGTCTGGGGGTGAGACTGAGAGCCCACAAAGACCAGGCAGGGCGGAAAAGTTCCAAAACTACCCAACACAGGCGAACAAAAAGCCAAGCCCCAACCAGGAGCCTCATGGAACCCATTGGCCACGGAGACAGTCTCGACTGGCTGGCGACGTGGTCAGGAGCGTTTCTCGATGTCACAGCTGGAGCTTGCAGCCAACCCCGAAACTAAGTCATTGGGCTTGCGAAGTAGAAGGCCAAAAATGCATCCTCGGGTTGACTCTAGGCCCTAGACACAGTGCAGCAGAGTTTCGTTGTGCTAAGAATGCTTAGCGAATTTTGCAATTTTGCGGTGTGCAGAATCCTCTTGCTGGCATCACTGTTTTTACAGCAACCGGAGTTCCCCACACCATTGATTGCGCTTCCAGCTTGCACGCCTGTTCTCCCCGTTCCCTGCATTCGAGTGGTTCTGCTTGTGTCTCAGACAGCCATGAGCTACAGTGGTCCGTGCAGGATCTAGAGGAACACGTCACGGAAGTTGGAACGTAGACGGGGACTTCCTGTGCACACTGCCAGACACCTTGGCGAACAGGAGCCTGCGGCATCTTCTGTCCAAGTTACGGCGTATGTGTTGCTCTCAGCTTTGCTGGCGTGACGTCTCCGCTCAAAGATGGTTCTGTCCTTCACACGTGTTCTGCCATTGGGGTAGGCCTATCAGAAACGATCATCATTCACTAGCATCCTTCGTACACGTCGGGTATCTCAAGCAACGCCTGCTCAAGATGCCGCAGACAAACACTCCGGCCATCAACATTCCACGCTTGCCCTTGAATCAGCCTGGTGCGAAAGATTCAGCACAACCGTGACAACTACTGTCTGAGTGGCCCCCGTCACGGAAGCACACAGGATTAACTCTTGAGCCTTTGCCCGATCTTTTGATGAGGTCCAGATGCGCTGTCCTCTCTACGAAACTGTGTGGAGCGCTGCGCAGCACAGCGTGCTGGCGAGCGCTTGGGAGAGCTTTGGCAGAAGCACTAGAAGTCAGCGGCATTCACGGCATAGCTGCAGGCTTGCAGCTTCGGACGACATGCCCGGCAAGCTTGCACCACTTCAAGCCGGAAACAGTATGCCAGCTTGGACTCCAAACAGTGAAGCGAAACTAGCAACCCAAGCTCTCACCATTCCAGGAGCACCCGTTCAGGCTCCCAATACCACCACGGCACTGTAGGGAGTACAACCTCGAGGGGGAAACACACAGGTGGGAGCACTATTTCCAATTGTGCCACATTCCGAAACGGCCGATGGTGGCCGCCCTGCTAGGACCTCGTATAGCCCGCAGCCCCACGAACCAAATCTCTCTTGCACTTTCCTTGTAGAAACCGAACGACTGGCAAAATGCGATTGGACTCTTCAGTACATGATTCCAAGGAGCTGAAACTCAGCTTTGGGGAGGAGCAGCCGGCAGGCGGGCCGTGGTTGCCCTCGATCTCCTGCAGGATTATGCAATTTTGATACCGGCCTTTCGTAGTTGCATGCTTGCTTGGGAGGGGCACGGGTGCTAGAAGTAAGCTTCTTTTTGAGAGACCTTGGCTCTGACCACAGGGGCCGGGGACGAGGAAGTTGACACAGAGGACGGGATGACTGCTCAGACCCAGGCGGTTCTCCTCTAATCGCCGTTAGGCCAAGCCGCAGGAGAGTCGCCGGGCCGAGGAGATCGCGGAGACACGTAGCACCTCCGCAGCAGGTGCAGAGGGAAGTAACCTAACAGAAGATGATCATTTGCGATGCTGGTGCCCTCGTTCTGAAGCTGTGGGAGCCCTTGTGCGGGCGGTGAGCCTTTCATTGTCCCAAGGCCGGATGCTAGCGATCTGGTTGTAGGAACTGAAGGATCAGTTCCCAGACTGGCAGATAAAACTTGTTCAAGAAGGACTGACAACTTATGCCTTGTTGTGATGATGACTTTGATTCCATGGCTCTGATGGCACCGACGATCAGCTGCGCCCTGTCGTCCTCCGGCAGCCGCCAGTAGACTTGCACAGTATACTAACTCATTGCTATGTGTAAACTGAATTTAGAGCGGTGAGTATGTGGGTGCCTACAATGTCCATTTTCCGTTACAGCTGAAACTACCTAAACCTATCATTGCTCTAATGGGTCATCAGCCTCTAGGACATCGAAGGACTAGCATTTGTAACATGTTTTGGACAAGCCCTACAAATCCGAAGCATTCCGTGTCACAAGACCCAAAGCAACGCAGTCTGGCAATGCTGCCGAGGCCAATGCCAAGCAGTCGTCGCCCGCTTCGACGAGCAGGTGCATCGGATGTAAGTGTTAAGCCTGTTAAGCCCGCTTTACCTGCCAATGCTGCAAGAAAGGTGGGCGAAGCTTTGGATGACATTGCTCACATTGCCGTGGACGGCGAGATTCCAGGCACGTGGACAATCAGACTTCTTTGGCGACGACGACAATGTCAAGCTCATTGAATTAACTCTTTTCGTCGATTGTCTCTCTCCGGCACCAGCTGTAGATAGCTTTAGTTTGTAGCGGCTTAGCGTCGTGAGCTATGAGCGGCATGACGCAGCAAGTCGGCTTTTCGAGAGACAACGTCAACTGTGTATACACTCGACAAGATTTGTCCACTACCCAGCAATGTGGACAAGCAAGTCATCCTGGAAGATGTACATCAACGACGCAAGCCAGCCACAGAGCAACCCACTTGAAAGAGGAACAGCGCGAGACTGGAAATCCCGAAGCCAGAAGAGAAGTGTTTAAGGCAGTATAGGCAGTGGTCCATCACTGTAGGAAATGAGAGGAAATGAGTGAAGCAGATAATAATGTCTACGGTTGATGCCTGTATTGCACGTTGCACGCTGTCCATCAGTCCATCATGTAGACCTGGCATTTCGATCCATGTTGATCAAATGCAGAAGCCTGTTTGCGCAGGCACTGTGTCCATGGCTGTGCTGGAAGGTGCGGTCGGGTTGCTGCATTGCAGGAAAAGTCTAGGTTCAGGTCATTGAGGTGTTTCTCGAAACTGTTCGCAACAGAATTCTCGCCTCCAGCCCATCATACCTCGAGAGAAGCTGTGAGAAGTAGCAGAAACAGCGGATCAACAAGTGGCCTGGCCACTCATTAATGCCTATTGATGCTAACGGAAGCAGCAGGTATGCAGTCCGGTCCATGTGTGACTGCATGTCATCACGGCACATCACTTGCGCAGCCAGCGACCGTTCGACATTGAGGCTGACATGTTGCTTTGGATCAGCACACCAGAAGAGATGTTCCATGATGTAGAACAAGGAGCAGCTCGAACTGGGCCCCGAGCACTGCGCAGATCTGCACGAAGCCCCAAAGCACGACCGTACCGCAGTGCTGCGAGTCTGAGATCGGAGCAACGCAACGCTCTCGCCGTGGCGCTCGCAGGCCTGGAGCGAGTCCTCACTTCCACGAAGCTGGTGTTGCCTTCCGTAGACCCCCTTTGGCCTGGAGACGGAAAGGCAGGGACTGCAGGAACTAAGATGCAATGCCGAAAATGCCTTCAAGCCTCGTTTTCCTCTCATGTACTCTTGAACGAAGTCGCCAGTCATGCACCGGATGACTGCTTTGCAGACATTTGGCTCAAAGCTTGGGCCGTGAGGGGTAGATCATGATTCGTGAAGAAGCCATGGTGATCGAATGGTCATCAGACCCACATCCTGCTGACACGCGGGAGATGTGGGATCAGGCCGCCATGAATCAAGAAATTCAAAAATTGCGGAATTTCATTGCAGGGCAGCTTGGCTTACATGCAATTGCGGGACCTTCGAAGGAATATCTGTGCCCGTTGCACTGTCCCCATCAACTCTCGCACCAAGGCAGTTCTCGCAGCAGGCCGAGCTGCTGCAGAGCTTGAGCCGTCAGGTGGGAGCGCTTCGTGTTCGATGGCTTCAAAATAGGGCCTCACACACGGGAGCGCAACCTGCTTTGCACAATTCACTGGCCCCCCAACTGCAGAAGGCCGAACAAGATGACGCAACGGCTAAAATGTAATGGCAACAGAACCGGCAAAACCGGGCCACACTTTGCAACAAAATCCGAGTGTCGACCGATTCATGGCACTTCGCGGTGCTAGACTGTCAGGTGCTGAAGGGATCATAGTTTGCAAAACAACACAATGTAGGGAAAGCTCCCGAAGAGGACACTGCTATGCGATGCTTGTCTTGCCAGCCTGCCTGAGTGACGGTGCAGACCTGCAACGAAGTTGCAGGTGGAGCGCGCCGGCAAGGTTGTGCAAATGTCCAGCAAGGCGGGTGTTCAGCGTGGGGTGGATGGGGAAACCCGATGGTCGGAGCAGCATTTTTTGCATTGCACGAGGCAGACGTTCACACTCCGAACGGAGTGGCACCGACTCCACCACTTAGCCACCTGACAGCAAGGAGGTCCGTTCTTGGCTTGAGCCTTCCCTTGGCAACGCACCTCACGGATGATTGTTTGCACAGCCGAGCCATCAACAGCTCCTGCCAATACAGTCCTTGATGCTGATGCACATGGCTTACTGCTGCCTGCTGCAGAGCCGGACACATCACTACTGGCCTACGGCTGCTTGAGCACCCGACAGCAACTTCTCAAACAGATCCCTGACATATCTTGAAAGGCCCTGCTTGCTACACATAAAATGATAAGGAACGCTATTGCTGCCAAGCGACGATTGTTGGTATGATATAGGTGTTTCGTCAGCTTTGAGGTCCTTTGTCACTGCCGAAGCGCTCCGAGGATGAGCCCAAGAGTCGAGGGACCGAAAGCTTCCTCTTGTTCAGGGCGAAAGGGCTCCGGCTTCCGAAATGCAGAACTGCCTGTGAGAGTCACGACTTTGGATTGTACGAGTGGCAGGCAAGGCCTTGTTTTCAACTCAGCGACAGCATGTGAGACGTGCCGGGAAGTTGAGATGTAGCGATGTAGCCCCGAGCCTGCGCATTTCCAGCGGAGCCTGAGCTCTCGACAGCCTCAGGTGAGGGGCACGAGCAGCTCTTCTCATCCGATACATCTCGCGAAGCCACAGAGCAACATGTCCGTGGGAAGGTTGAAGGTTCACGTTGCAAGGCACTCTTTTGGGTGGCTTTAAGATGATGCCGAACCGATTTGTATATTCATGGCTAGGGCGCATTCCGTTGCCGAAACAAAGGTTAGCAGCAGCTGCTTGCAATAAGGTTGTACGAATTGGCGGTTCTTCCGCGAGTTAGTTTGAAATAGGTGCACCGGCCTTGCCCCCTTTCTTCTGGCGCTAGTTTTGCCACCGTGTGTGCTGCTTGCCACGCCCGTTTCATCTACGTCGTCTACGTAGAAGGTATCGCCAGAAAATGTTCTGGCATGTAAGGTCCTCCATAGTACGCGCCTGGCCAATGAAGAGTTTATGAGACCAGGTCCCTGTAGCAAATGCTGAGGCATGTTCTCTCCAACGACACGCAGAAGTCGAAAGATCGAAGGCAAAGCCTCGGCAGTGATGGCTTGCAAAGCCTGACCATGGACAGTGACAAGCTGGATCTCGCTTCGGATGCCGAGGCCTGGCCTTCTCCACCCGAAGCGACCAAAGCTTTAAGAGTTCTCTGTAGGATTGCGGATGCCAGTCACGCATGCGAGCCTGGGAATCGGTCTGTGGCAGGCACGACAACAGCGCAAAATCTATGCAGCAGCAGCGGCCGCGACCGGCCAGCTTGCGACTGAAGAAGACGATCAGCAAAAACGTCAGCCAAACTGGAGGGATCCGAAGGATGTGGCCAAGTACCTCACGCGAAGTAGTGTGTTCATCTACGGGATCATGGGTGTTATCCTCTTCAACCTGATCTCACTAGGAATCGAAGTTGACATTGCGGCCCGGGATGGGTCGGACAAGGTGCCTATCTGGTTCGACTACATGAACATGTTTGTCGTCTTCATCTTTGTTGTGGAGCTTTCCGTGAACTTTGTTGCCAATGGCCCATGGGGTTTCTGCTGTGGGGGCGACAGATTATGGAATTTTTTCGACCTCGTCATTGTGGCACTGTGTCTCGGCTTGGTTCAACCCCCCAATGAGAGAGACCATTGGGCGAGTAGGTGCGCGGCAACTTTTCTGCAAGGCCTACTGTGTTCGCATGAGTTCTAAACCCGCCTTAGACACGCTGACTTTGCAGAACAGCAGCTTTCACCCTGCTCACTCTCCAGGTCAGTAGTTGAGACCGTGGTCAGCTTTATGGCAAATGCGGCACCAACATCTCAGGCCGGTGTCGGGGTCCTAGGTCGCAGGAGTCTTGGAGCATGTCCGGTTGATGTTGAAATCTACCTGACGATGGCATGAACGCTTTGATGTTGGGTAAAGGACGGTAGACATCAAGCAGACTCAAGCAGATCTGTCAGATATTGTGCTGATGTAGAATCGTTGAACTTCGTAGCATTGTCTCCATGCACAGAGGCACCTGCAACACGGCGCCTGTCCGTGCAACGACCATAATCATGCAGCAGTGTCCGTCTCTTATCCTTCCGTCCTGCGAAACTGTCTTCAAGACTCAGGCGGTCAGAGATATGACTTTATGTATGTATACCAAATATTTACAAAAAACAATGAGCCATGCAAAATACATAAGTGTATGTATGTATATATAGATCGATACATGTTGCATATGTGCATAAACATACATATACATATATATATACACACATATATATATACATATATATATATATATGTATGTATATGTGTGTACACATCGTTCTTTGTCTCTCTCTCTCTCTCCTAGCTGCGCAGATCCATATATCTCATGCCTTCCTTGCAGAGTTCACAGATCCGGGCATTGATGCTGCATAGAACTTCAGAACCTGCCAGCTGGCCTGCTTACTCAGCACCGAAACGCTTTTGGTCAACTCACTGGGTCCGACGGGTGTGGGAAGGGTTCCACAGACAGGAGCGTGCACAGTGCAGAGTGAATTGGAAGGTAAGTCCCAGCCATTTGCGCTTCATGCGGCCGATCCGTTTGGCTCGCGCTTTGCGTGGGGTGCGGGTCATGCGGCTGTCCCTTGGACCTCCCTGCAGAGTTCAAGTTGGAGTAGGAGATGTTGCTGACAAATCCCCACACAGCAACAGCTGAGGTTCCGCTATGTCGGTGCTTTGAGGACGCTGTTGCTGTCGATTGCCTGCACGAAGGAACACCTGAACATCACCGTGTGAGTAGCTGGTAGCTGTCCCATGTAAACCGGGCCTCTGTGTGCCTGTTCAGGGCTTCCTGAGTTCCCAGGTCCATCATGAGCAGCATCGCGTCGCTCTTTTGGACCATTGTATTGCTCGTGCTTCTGCACCTTGGCAGATTCGCGCATGATGCCACCAGGGCTGATGCTGGACCCTAACTTGCATCGGGACGATGCTCGGTTGGTTGCTGTCGTCGCTACAACTAGTCTAATGAGTCGGTCTGACCAGGTTCTACAGCTTTGGGGTGCTCGTCACGCAGCTTGTGTCTGATCATTGCGAGGCAACTTGGATAGCGATATACATGTTGTGCATTATGCAAGCAATCAACCAAAAAGCGACGCACCCCATCTTGTATCGGGCGAGGGCCCTCCCCCCCAAACAATAAGCCAACCATAGCGGCTAGTGGCTAGTGTAGTGAATCGAGTAGTCGGAGTAGCCGTCGGAGTAATTAGTACTAGTAGTAGTGGTGGTGGTGGTGGTGGTGGTAGTAGTGGTAGAAGGAGGAGTAGGAGCAGGAGCAGGAGTAGTGGTGGTGGTGGCGGTGGTCGTGGTAGTGGTAGTGGAGTAGTCGTAGTAGTAGTAGTAGTAGTAGTAGTAGTAGCCGGAGTAATAGCAGTAGTAGCAGCGGCAGCAGTAGTAGTAGTAGTAGTAGTAGCAGCAGTAGTAGTGGTAGTAGCAGCAGTAGTATCAGCAGTAGTAGCAGTAGTTAGTAGCAGATAGCAGTAGCAGGAGTAGCATCAGCAGGAGTAGGAGTAGTAGATGTGGAAGTCGTGCCGCGAGATGGAAGTCGTGCCAATCCCTCCGTGGTGTACGGGAACGCTGCAACCTGTCATACCATGTCACGCGGGCTATGTTCAAAAAGCACGAACCATGGAACATAATATGAGCCTTCTCTTGCGCCTTTTTGGCGTTACTCACCCTGGGGGCGTGGATCGCCACCAACATCGCATCGTGATGCATCGATCCAAGGCGACGTATGAGATACTTTATTTCGCATCGCTTGGTTGAAACACACATCCATGAGCGGCCACACTCGGGAATCGCGCTGAACTTCACATAATCACCCTTGTTTGCGAGCGATCTTTTTGTTCCGTGCTTCTGGCCCAGCACCCCTTGCACGGGAAGTGCCGCTGGCCTGTGTTTGTGTACAGGCCCTTATTAGCAGAAAGGTCTGGGTCACCCGGTTTCTTGCACTGGATACCCACCTGTCTTGAAGCTTGGGCTCGTGCGACTTGCAGACTACCAAGAGTGTCCACAGCGAAGATTAATTAGCATACACTATACACTGATGCGAAGTTCGACCTGATGTGTACTTCTCTGAAACAGCGTGGAAACGTGGCTCTGGACCATCGGTGGTGTGACTTCTGACTTGTGGGGTGACGTACCACGTCTGCTACTAGTAGTAGCAGTAGTAGT